TAGGTCATAAACCTGCTCGATACTTGAAAGGGTCACAAAAATCGAAAATGAATGTTATACATGGAAAATAAAATTGTGGTCCCAGGAGCACGACAGGGTCCCAGGAGCACGACAGGGCGTGGCCCGTATACGGGCCACGCGGTCGTCAATGGGGTAAACAGCAAAGGCCGAAGGATGTGGACATAAAAGGACAGGAACGTGGACAGGTCATCTGTTCAAATGGTCAGGTTTTCAACTAGGGTGGGGACTGTAGGACACAATGTACAATTTGAGCGCTTTCTGTTGCTCACTCTTTTGGTCTGTTATCATGCATTTCAGCTTTCTGTTTTTCCACTCAACTCTTCAACACCCAATTGGGTTTATTTTAGACTAGACGGCAAAAGAAACTGGAGCCGAATAAATTCTGCGATGAACTGTTAAGTATAAATACAATAAAATCCTTCGAAGACATCATTGCCTGCTCCAAAAGGCACAATGTAAAATTTCACTCCCCTGGCATACGGGATACAACGACACTTCTTTCGCCGAGGCAGAGCCCCTTTACACACCTCAGTCAACACGCTAATCAAACAACCCATCAAGACGGCTCTAGTCGCTAAAAAAACGAAAGCAAATGATAAATCGTTATTGCTTTCGCTAAAAAATAACGAAAAACGCAGAAAGGGTAAGGTGCATATGGTAACATAGACCAATACGTTGAATATCTCTCTGAATGATCACCATCCTTCATTCCAATACTTTAGCAGCTACTTATAAAGCTCATATGTAAGGCATTCCGAATCCATGATTTACCAGAATAACCTCTGGTTAATCTGCCTCCACCATCAACTAAGCATCGACGAAGACAAACTGAAATATACTTATCGAATGTTAACGATTTCTTCTAACCAAGACGTATTCTAGGCCTCCAACCATCCGTAATGGATATTTTGGAAAATAATTTGAGCTGTTATTCGAAGCTCCGCTACTGCACTCGAAAAGAAAAGTTTTGAAGTCTTCGTTTCTGAAACTAACATGGGCCACAATACAATAAATCACCGCATTTGAAGGCACAGTTCACGATAAAAATCGTTTCTGAGTTCTCCCCCTGAAAATACCCATTGGCACCCAAGGGTAATAAGAAGCCTAAAAGGGTACGGCATAGAGGGAGCCTCCCCATTTTTTGCTACCTTGTTCGTAAGTGAATGGATTTTTGCTTACCGTAGTCAGCTGTTCGCACCAGGGCCCACACGTACGCACTGGCACACATTGTATAGCTCTTCCAACGCTCCATTCTTCTTCATTTTTCTCGTCTCATTCTCGTCCAGCTCCCTTTTGAAAGATTTTTCGAAGCATTTTTTCACTTTGGAAATAACGATTCACGCAGTTTCTTGACCTTCATCGCACTATTTTCCACCTTATCTACCATTGTTCATCATAATCTGAATTACCCCAAGTTATCGTGGACTGTGTCTTTGCAACACCATCACCTAAGAATTCCTTTTCCCTTTTTTCCACAAGAAGCAGAACTTGTTAACAATGAAAAAAAGCTGCATAAACCAAGAGAAGCAAGTGGTTAATTTGAAGTAGATTTGAATAGGTCTAATCTGTACTGCACTTAGGCCTTTATCAGTACTGCACTTAGGCGTATGAGCCCCGTAAAAGAGCCATACAGTATTACAATATTTGAGTGTTCAAAAAGTTTTGAGAAAAATCACTCGCTTTATTCAACACAAATTGATTGCAAAAATAATATAAGATTAGTAATCAAGGTAGTGACTCTCCTTAGTTGTTCCATCTTGCAGGAAGAGCAGTGACACAATTACTCCCGAAGGAAACGAGACGTGTCACGATCTGTTCATCAGCTTCCTGACGATTGTTGCATTTTTTTCTTCAGTGTAGATCTGTGGGTTCCAGAAGACATGGCAGTCACAAATGATAGAATGATGTGAATTTAGGGGGGCTGCCAAGAGATACCAAGCCTTTTTAGCTGATCCGTAGTCGTTCTCGCGTGGTGTGGGCGAGCCCTGTTCAACACAAACACAAACTTTTCTTGTAACCGATGTGAAATGTGGACTCGAGGCACAGTCTCTCCCGTCACGGCAGTACCTCGGCTCACGGTAATTCATCGAATTCCATATTGGCATGCTCCTCTCTTTGAAAGAAGTTGTGACTTAACTCTATTGCAACCACTGAACTTCCCTTGTGGATGTTTTTTTCATTTGAGCAATAATGGAGTCTATGTCTTCATTGGCTTACGTCGAAAGGCATCTGACGCACATCTACCTGCAGTCGGTGCTGTTGCTAAACCAGGAAATTGGTAAACTACAGAATCGTGGATCGTGTACGGGAAAAAGAGGTGTCTCTTTCATTATCTGCAAACTTTGAAAAAGATTGCTCTGAGCGGATGTCGAAACCGTGCCGGTGCTGAAAGGAAAAGGGCTCCAGTTTGGAAGCTCCATCGGGACCTATCCCTCCTCAAGAGAAGCGATTGTACCACTTATGACAAGTGGCAAGAGAGACTATCCATCAAAGTTTCAGATCATTTCCATTACAAGAATTGGAGGAACGTTCAGATTGGCAGCAGTGAAGAAGAAAGCGCTAGTAGTCGTGACCGCAGCAGATAGTTCGGTCACTATTTTGTACGACAAAGTGAAATGCGAACCACTACAGTACGAACAAAGCGCTATCTCATAGTTGTCCTTCGGCGTATTCGCGCGCAACCTGATTTGCAAACCAGAATTTTTTCGAAGATTCTCGGATATCACAATAGATCGCCCCAAAGTTAATACGGCTCAATGGATTTCATCCAAAGAACAAACGTCTAGAGGGTGAGACTCTCATGTTCTTGATGAACGACTCATTTCACAGCTTCAGGCAATTGAGCTTGGCGCTTCAGGCAATAAGTGAAGCGCTAAACTCAACTTATTTTCCTCTCATCTTTTGCCAAACACCAGCAATTGGCTTCGCGATTCTCAATTGAAGGCGAGAACCAACTAACACTATATTAGGCATATTTATTAATCATATAGTACCGCTACAATATGAAAATATGCGAAGCATGCATGATTAGGGTGATCAGAGCTTCTTATGAGGAATGATGAAATTAGATCTTATTAGAATGGTTGTGTTACGACGTTTATAGTTAAGGTAGGGAGTCGTGTCAAGGAACTGTAAACCATTGAAGGAAAGTAAAAAGTGATTAACCGGGGAATAAAACGCTTTCAGCGAAGATCATCATTAAAAGCTTTGAATACCTTCACAAGGCGTTGGTAAGTTGGTGAAATAGCCAGCAAAATCTAACTGCAAAGTGTTAAGAGATGAAGTTTTGAACAAGGCAGCCCATGAGAGGTGAAAAGTTTGAAAAAACCGACATCTTCTAGAAGAATTCCTCTTTAAAACCATGAGGTTAGTATCGAAAACCATGTATACATATGAGTTTGTTGTACGAAAGATGGAAGACGTGAAGAAGTTGGTGAAGTAAGAAAAGTGTGAGTCCAGTATTATGCAGGACATTCTCGAGATCGAAGGCAGCCTAAAAAGTTAAAATTAATTTCTTCAAATGCTCGTTTATACAAAAGCGATACTCAATCTTATTTCTGTCTTTGATCGTGCACCAAATCTCATGGTCAGTGAAAAAAGGCGAAAGCGCGATTTTGTGATTAAAGCGATCCTTGACGCCTTATAGTCGCAAGAATGATACTCGATTCGTGCCTAGGATAGTGATTCGATAACAAATTTCAAAATATTTTAGTTTTTCATAAAATATATGCTGAGCACTTGGAAATCAGATTGACGCCTATCAGTAACTATCTGCAAGAGTTACTCTCTCCTTTCCGAACCCAAGAGGTGCGCTTCCAATCCTATGCTCAAAAAAGGATTTCCTCAATGTTAGGCGGCATCCTCCACTCTGCGCTCATATCGTGTAAGTTGCAGGAACGGCATTTCTTCAACAATGATAGTCCTCGTTCTGGCGGAATACTCCTCTAGTCTCAAAGCGCTGTGATCTAGTGACTGGCCCTTTTTTTAGGGAAAAAAGAGCGCATTACTCTTATGCCCACGATATGCCATCTACAACAACCTGCGTGGCCAATTAGGGAATATACTGCCCCTCTAATTTATTGATGGTAGCGATGACGACGACTGTCATACAGTGATTTGGGAGAAACATTCAAACGGCCATAGGAGACTAATTCCCAAATTTATCAATTCGCCCCCGAGCAACCCCTCAAAGTTCAAGTGGAATTTTCATCGCCTTCGATCTTCCAAGGAGCAAAAGATTCACACATTCCTCGCACGATGATCAAATTGGCTCTACTGCTACCAAATATTGTCCGTAGAATCTCAAAGGACACGCACGAAATCGCATGCCCTCAATTCGATCCATTTCGACACTTTTCCAAGACCGTTTCTCATCTCATGAGGAGAGAGAGGGCGATAGTGATAATGAGATAAGTATTTATTCGTGCACTGTTCAGTGTCCAAGGAACGCTACTGCTTTGGACACTACATAATCAAACATCATGTGCTGATGGAGTGCTCGCAGCCTCGAAGACCTCATGATCCATTCAAGTGTTAGCTCCCCACCTCTCCCTTGTCTAGCCCGAGCCAATCAACTACTCAAGAACATTCCCATTTTCCCACGAATTAATAAACTCCACTGAGGCGATTCCTCGTAAAAAAAAATGTGAAAATACTGATCGAATCTGACAGCCTGAGAGTCGGAGCTATTTTAAGCAAGTCACTCCGCTAATACCTTTCGAAAAAAAAGAATAATTAGATGTAGACACATAGAGTTCCTCGTGAGAGTTAGATTCTGTGTGAACTACATTAGCAGGTGAACTTATTAGCGATAGACGTGGCTTTGAGCACTTCGTTTGAAAGAAAAACTGATTTTGTACTGTGGCTGTACTGTTTCTGGAAATAGCATTATATATTCTAACCACGGCAAATGATAACGATACCTCAATTCGGTAGGTACAGCATGGCGAAGGATAAACCCATGAAGTGCTTAGAGCCCTCTAGAAAGGAAAATCTGCAGCCTTATTGTCAGCATAGTCCAAAAAGTCCTTCCCATACGCGAGGCATACCTAAAAAGCGTTAATTATACAAGCAATTGATGAAATTCTTGCGAACTTGCATCTACCGTTCCCTTTATTTCTGGTATTACCAGCCCTTTCATAGACTTTTGAGAACAACAATGACTGGTTCTTTTGGAACGTGCCTCTCACTTCACTTTTATGAAGATGAGAAAAGAAAAACGCTTCTGGCATAAATAACTTCTAAATGACCACCTCGGAAGCATAATCAAGCCATGTTATATCAGCTCCTATCCTCACATTCCAGGACTGATAAAAGNCTTAATGGCCATGATCCAAGAACTTGTTGAGCTGGTGATATTAGCCCTTGCATCCTTTCATATGCATATTAGACCAACAAACAGCCAAGAGGCAAATAGCGCAAACATGCTCACCTGCAACAAAGCTTCAGTGTCATCCTGAGCATAATGAGCATTGTACTGGGACTTTAGCACCTGCAACCTTAGTTCGTATACTTCAAAGTGGTGATGCTGACTGAGCAATCCTATGATTGATTTGGTTACAGCAGCAAAAAAAACATCAGCCCCACAAGAAAGCGCCCCATGTTCCGACTACTTCTCTTTACGAGCGAGACAAAACAGTGATGCACAATGGAAAACAAGGCTGTTTGAAGAAGTGCAAACATACGGTCTCATAAATTGTGGTCAACTTGTTTCTGGTATTCATTTCTGCCACAGTACAATTGAAGTCCCAACGGCCACCGTCTATACGCCTGAAATATCACACACTCAAACGCTCCACTTCAACTGTGCACGACAGCGTGCACGTTAGAAAGCCTGTTGAAAAAACTATTCAGGCAATGAAGCCCTAATCTTTTAAACCGACGAAAGCTTCTCACTCCCAATTTGGGTCTTCTGCTCGAAGACCTCTGATTTGGATCGATGTGTACGTCCCAAGGCCGATGGTTGCCATATGACTTGAAAAAAACTCAAGGCTCAAGAGGGCACTGATTCAGTGGCCCACTACTCATTCCCCCATGCCTGCACTCAGAAACTTCGACGGGGCTGCTCAGCTACCCATATTCGATCTTTTGAGCTAGTTATCGGATGAAGTACAGGAAACAGCTGACTTTCCTCCTGAGCACTGTAACTGCGAGTAGAAGCACACCTTCACACCCTTCGAAGTATACTTGTTATTTTCCAAAATATAGAAAGAGAACAAATTAAAATCTCTTACCTGAAATACTCTGGTCGAACACGACGACGTTTGGCAGGAGACCAATCATCGGTATTCAAAAACAGAAGAGGATGATCGGCCCCGGGCAGCTCGTTATCGAAAAGCCGACGTCGACCAGAACTGAAAAGCTATTTAATTTTTTGAATACCACCCTTCTTGACGCACTCACAGCTTTGCTGGTTCACTGTTAGTTCCTCGTGGGATCGGGGGCCGATTAGGAGTACGCGGATCAATAGGGCATTGTGGCTGTATGAGGTGTATTTCCACATCTGTAAAAGGTTTTAGTCAGTCAAAACGAACACAGGGTTTGGAATAAATTTACGATAACAGAATGAGAGTAACCCTCACTCTTGGAATCTACGGGCTCATCTCGGTTACCGTCCTCCTCAACAGCTGACGGAATATCCTCACAAGCTGGTACTCGATTCAGACACACTTGCTCGGAAACTGTAACGAGCGACCATTACGATAATTGTGATCTTTCGAAGGAAACAACAAAAAGATACTAGGTCGCAGGGAATTGCAGAATTCAAATGAGAATCCAATACTAGTAAGTTACCTTCAAAGTCTTCTTTACGACCGTTGCCCTTCGATTAACTGACCACTCTACTTTTCATACCCATAGCAGCCAAACGGGATCGAGTGGGGGTCAGTGCTAAGACAACACAGATTCCTTGTTGGCTCGTTGGGAAGTTGGCTTGACTCGTGCTGCTAAGATGCCATCTTTTAACTATGGAACCCAGTAGAACTCAGACACGAGTGCAAGCTGCAATCGCTGTGCGCCCAGTCACCCAGCTTCGTCGAGGAGACCGCGATGGAGAACCGCCACATGTACCCATCAAGTAGGTTACTGGAGAAAGTGAGGGGATATTGCTAATTACGTCATTTTAGAGTCAAAACTCACACACACATATAAAGGACCGGTTTTCTAAATCTACTTCGTCATTAGAGCGGAGGTGGTGGAGGGCAAGTGGCGCTCTATCGCACACGTACGGTCAGGGGTTCGAATCCCGGATCGATACCCGCCTAGGCTAACCAAACCTTCCATCCCACCGGGGTCGGGTAATTGGTACCAGACTCGTTTGGGAGGATGAAAGCACTGACTTGCACATCGGCTGGCCATCGCAAGTCATTGTATAGGCTACATACGCACTTATTACGCCGCTATGATTCTGAATGGAAGTCGAGCGCGAGACGCATTCCTCAGACGGGATTGACTAAGGCCAAACAATTTTTATCCTTTAAATTTATTACGTCATTACGTGTAAGGGTTATGAAGTTCCCGTGTAGTTCTCTGTAGAGGTCTCTCCTGAATAGGACTTGAGTTCGGTTCGTATGAGACCTTCTAATGCCACTTTACGAGTAGTACTGTAAGAGGGATCACGTAGTAACACTGACTGTTATGCAAGGTCCACCCAAGGGCCTATATTCCCTACCAATTTGGTTCTCCTGCTAGAAAAGAACCAAGTTACGATCCCCTATCAAACAACAACGAATTTATATAACACATTAATTGAAATATTCATGGTGAAAAATGTATCTATGCTCCGTTGAGCAGTATCATCACACCATTTTCATTTAAGCACCCTTTCCGGGGTTTTCTCCTCTGTTTACATCTGCGATGGCGATGAGTTTTTCATATCAGTCCCCTTATCATGAACATTGGATGTTTTGCGTCTCAAAGACCGAAAAACAGACTAACCGATAAACACCCAAATAGGTACACCACTCTACGGCTTTAGATATATAAAGAACAGTAGCTGTTCAATGTTTTTAGATCTACCCTGTGGAGCTTGGCTCATATATTGACTCACAGAGATACATTCGTGTATTACTAAAGATGTGGGGTTGCGGGTGAACTCATTCCTCGACATGCTCTCTTTATTCAATATACGTAGTAGCAGCCATAAATATTGCGGCGCTTCTATGGCCTATAACTCGAATGTGTTCCAAAAAACATCGACGATACAATTTATTTCGCGCTTATAATCCTGCATACAGATAAGCCCTCCCATTAGACTTACGCTCAAAACCGTAGCGGCGCTTTGAATGCGTACTTAGCCTACACAGTAAGTTGAGGTGCAGGGTTTGAAAAGCATGAAAAATAATGCCTTTTCCCTTTCAAACGAACCTGGGACCAATTAAATGACCCTACCAAAGTGAAAAGTTTTGTTTGCCTGGGCGGGTACTCGGGTGCGATTTCCATGCGGTACAAGTAATGGTGCGCCACTTTGCACAAACTCACCCCCTCTCGCTTCTAACCGCACCCCATTAAATAGTGACCTACGGAATATTCTACACTAACACTATACAAGCCACAAGCAAGTCGCTTCATTGTGATTACCATCGTGGAAATAGCGCTCCCGAGGCGATCTCAATAAATGACATCATTGGTACCGTTGAGCGGGAGAGAGAATAAGAGTAGACTCTATCGATGCGCTTTATTCTCGTGAAGCACAAAGCGCATCGATCAAGCCTACTCTCATGCTTGAAAATTTTCTGCCCGATGCGCGTTTTTCCCATGTTTCTCTTTCCAAGACATTGCTCGCCTTCGAAAACAAGCGTCATTGGCTGATGCTCTTTGAACTGACGAGACTTCGTACTTTGCTTCGAGTCCTCACCTAATAACTTGCAAAAAAACACAGCAGGTGCTCTTTCAATTTTACACTCACGCTGCCTACATCTTTCTTTCAAAGCATGTTCTCCACTCTCCACCTCCACTTTCACATTCATGAGAAATGTAATACAATGTTGCACTCTACGCTACCAAGCCCCAGATCTGACGATCGAAATATGAGCATTTCTGCTGAATTCGCGATGTACGCAGGTCCTTATCTCTACTACATTTCGACAACTTTCCCCGTCATGTAAGATTCCATACATAGCGCTGCACAATTATTCCAAAAACGTCGCGCTGCTATTTGCTCTCCAATTTTGCTTTATTAGATAACAAACTACAGTTACTTAGAAATTAAAGCTGGATAATAGCACAAGTCTATGAAAAAGAAGATCTGTCCAAAACCCTTCTTCCGTTGTGCAGGCAAGGCTTGATNATGTAATACAATGTTGCACTCTACGCTACCAAGCCCCAGATCTGATGAGCGAAATATGAGCATTTTTGCTGAATTCGCGATGTACGCAGGTCCTTATCTCTGCTGCATTTCGACAAACTCTCCCCTTCATATAAGATTCTACACATAGTACTGCACAATTATTCCAATAACGTCGCGCTGCTATTTGCTCTCCAATTTTGCTTTATTAAATAACAAAGTACAGTTACTTAGAAATTGAAGCTGGATAATAGCACAGGTCCATGAAAAAGAAGATCTGTCCAAAACCCTTCTTCCGTTGTGCAGGCAAGGCTTGATCCTATAAATGCGTCAGTTCTTCTAAGCATTATTCTGAGAGCAAACAAGAAGGCTCCCTAAGCCCGGATTTCAACCTCTACCTTCCTACCTTTGTGAGCCTGCTATTCTGTTCTTTGCCCTCCATCCTCGTTGTTGTCAAAGGGGATTAGAGTGACAGAATGAATGATGAGATATGGGCAAACAGTCATGACTTCATTCAAAGTCCTCAGTAAAGCTCTGCAGATTGATCGAATTTTAAACTAATGCTTGAAAACACCCACATTGTCACGCTCTCAGTTAGAAATGCCAAACGACCATGCCTCCCCTTAGCGATCTACTAAGAAAAGCTTAGACGCACGCATTTTCCAATCGACCAGTCTCGTCGCATGATGAAGTTCGTTACGGTGCCTTGCCTCGAGTTCTCGGATAGCCAAATATGAATCGATGAAGACGACCTTCAAATACAGTATGTTCATGCCAAGCATAACAAAGCAAAACGGTACCGTCAATGAATCAAATCCGCTCACCCCATCTGGGATTCCCATATCCTTTTCGATGAAACCACATCGCTTCAATTCACCATACAGCACGCGATAGTCAAACGATAAACCATTGTGAGCAACTACAAATAATCAGAACCACTTATGAATTGGAAGGAGCTAGACAGAGAAAAATGATTACCGAGGCAAGCAGGTTTTGGACACAGCTCCAAGAAACTTCTCACAGATGGCCACTCTTCGGCAAAAGTGCGTTTCAAGATGAGATCTTCACGGGCAAGATTAAGGCCTAAAAGCGTCACAATTAGAGCAGCTAGACATTGAAGCCAATCCTAAGCAGATTAAAGAGTCTCATCAAGCGGGGAGTTGGAGTATGTCCATTAAGTGCGAGAGTTAATTGCAGAGAGGGATACCATGTATACGGATAGAATAATTTGTGCAGATGAGATAACAGGACATTACAGTTGACACACCTGAAATGGCGATTCGCCCCATCAATTGCGATGGAAGGGAATTATATCAAAAACAATCGTATACTAGGGGATACATAAGCGACCCCAACCAGAGGCAAAACATCAAGCCCTTGTGCCTCGAGCTTTACCGGGAATGATTAAGAACGGGATAGACAGTCAATTCATTATAACAAGACTGGAGCATATTAACTCTTCAACAAATCCACAGAGACGGATCTACTCAACGATCTGGTTATGTTAAAGTAGTAGAAACTTACAACTTTTACCAGCTATCCTGGAGGCTTCATAAGCATTCCACTGTTTTTCATCTAGCTCAGGGTTAACTTGACGTGTATGAACATTTGTCGTCAGTCGGACGTACAGGCTCTCGTTATCCACCTTCAAAATGAAGGGCTTATCTTTCAAAGCTTTTGAGAAGAAAAATTCGTAGAGCTTTCTATTTTGCTAGTAAACCTGGACGAGAAAAGGGCACCAAAATATGTGAAGAGTACGTTACGTTGTACGTGACCGTCTAAACGGTCCCAACCATTCCGAATTACAATCGTGAACCTAATTTGGTTTTCCTTCTCCAGAAATATCACGCTTTGTGGCATCTGTAGGGTTAGAACGTGATTTGAAAAAGATGGTCACCCCCTTCTCAACTATGAGAAGACTTCAGAATGAATGCCTACACAGGAGTTATTCACCATTTACATCTTACCTGCTCTGATTGTTGCTTCATTTTTGCCTGCCCACGAACAAACACCTCACGAGGCACACTTATAAACGACATTTCAGTGATTCGTGGATACTCACTGCGCTGAGCTGAAACAACAACTACTTCCTCGTGATTTTCATTAACTAAAGGCAATGACAGAAAATATTGATTAAAAAACCTACTCTCCATTATTAATTTGGTTAGTGTGTTGCTATAGTCATGTGGTTCATGTAACTTCCCTTCCAAAAGACGGTATTGAGTATCGTGAATTCCACCTACTCTACCACTGGTTTCGAAGTCCATGAAAACGAAGGTGTTCACAGCTCCGCCAGTACCAAAGCTGAAAATATTGAATAGAGGATAGTTCTCCGACGATGATATTCTCGTTTCAAGATGTGTTCATGTATTCAACTCCATTCAGGACCATAGTGGAGTTTGAAAGGGCGTTTCGCTTAGGTCTAGCACAAGCCAGTCGATTTGTGAGCTAGTGTCTTTATCCTTCTAGACAAAGCTGGCAAATACTGAACAATTTCGGAGCAGTAGGTGATTTAATAGGCCATGACTGGGTCTCGAGAATCGGCTCTTGAATCTCCTCTATTACAGTGAAGCTACTTGATATTATCCATTTGTTGCCTTCATCTTAATACACATTTAGAATTTGCCAATATCAGCCACAATGTCCATATGTTTGCGTCCCCTCAGAAACCTCGAGATTCAAGGCAGAGAGCATTACAAAGATTACCTGATCCCAGATAAGCTTTCACGCAGCGTGGCCTAAACGATGAGTGATGAGAGACGAATCTGTCAAGATTTCTTTTCTGCGGATATCACTCTCCCAAGTTCACAGGGTCAAGTCGCCCTTAGTCAATAGACGCCGTTTTTGCAATCGTTCATTATGAAAAGCAGGGCGGGCAGTGACTGAACGCATGAATAAGGAGCGCGTATACGAGAACACTCAATCCATGTTTTCAGGGACCCTATTTCATTGGAGGACCAGAGCTTGCCGTCTCAACGCTAGGTAGTCCCTTTTGTTTGAAGGCAATCGTGTTTTTTGCAGCTGGTTACATTCGGCAAAGCCCAGAACTATTTATTCAACAACCACAATAACTAGCGAATGGACCTTTAGTAGCGGCAATCGATGACATTTTTTTTGTACCGCACCCCCATCCCAGCGAAAACAAACCTGAACGACGTTTACAAGCCTTTGAATTGGTGATGGAGAGATGCGATACCATACTGAACTGCGACCACGGGTACATGAAAACTATAGGCCAGCTATGGTGAAATCAGAAATTTAACATGATCATCCAACAAAAAAGCTTTTTTCTCAACTGAACCTAACTTTCCGAAGCAACCTTGCCATAACGAAAACTGAAAAAAACTTGTAGGGGAACTTACCGTTTCCTTTTGATTGTCTTCGTTGGACTTAAAGTGATTTTTGCACTTCTTTTCATGACTGAAGACGTAGGTTGTTGTTCACCTCCATCCACGGCTGCACGTACGTTCAAAGGCTCTTGCACCTGGATATATATCCAATACTCAACAAAAAGAAATTCATTCATAAACGAATGATGAAGCTCACTTGAGGCGGAATCATTCCCATTTTGCTGGCAAATTGTGCAATTTTGCGAGGAGTTGTAGAAGAAGGTTGCTGCTGGTTGAGAAGGTGAGAAGGAGGTGGAGGCGTGTCGGGCATCTGCGCGATGAAGGGACTATCTCTACCATCATTCGCTACTTCTTGCACATCTCTGTCACCCATTTCTTCAGGTTCATCTCCAAAATCCAATGCTTGCGTTTCTGGCTCCTAGAAAAAGGACTCACTACTCTGTCGCTCAACCCAGTTGAAAAGCAATATCAATTCATCAGGGAGAGGATTCAAACTTTCATTTTTTTTGTTAGCGTCCACTACAAGCTTTCTTTGTTAGACAGCTCTAATGTCTTTAGAAAGTTCCTCGATTCCGACCAATAGCCTTCTAGCAAATAAAATTAAATGAACAATCCCTTTGAAATACAACTCACCTCGGCTCCATCTTTGAATATTGGTTCTTCAAAGAAGCTCTCTTCATCTGATTCCGCCATACCAGTGGGCAGACACGCCTCTCTGAACGTAAATCCCTTTGAGGTAGCACATATCCATATATATAGTTACAAATTTCCGGAACAGTGAAGGCCCTGATATCACGAGCAGGACATGCAACAACTTTTGATCAGTTAAGACTTCCATTTCTCCCTGAGCCACTTAGCTACTTCAGATCGGGCACAAGAATGAGAAGCAAAGAATGGTTTGTTCAAAAGGAGAAAAGAACCCAAATAGAAGGCGGCCCACAATAAAAAAAAAGTTGTTCAAACAATTTGAATTGTAATCTCTCCATAAGACAAAAAAAAAACGGAGAAAACAGCAACAGAGCTGCTAATGAAGATCCGAGGCAGCACTTTGATATGAGACAAAGTTCATTTCACCTATGATTCCCGGAAAAAACGCCAGTAGTATGAATGCGGCTAGCATTTCTGTGATGAGCGGCTAGTCGATCATCACCACACGATATTGACAAAACTATTTGTCGAAGTGACTTGTGCTAAGTTTCAGATCAGATCACGGGACCAACTGGGTAAGTTCGGCAAACGCCTTCGCAGATAAAACTAGGTCGCCAAGCAGGCAAGTCGGTTTTGAGTGACCGTACCAGAATTTCTACTCAATGTACAAGGAGGACAGAACTCGACACCTCGAAATAAGATGTGAAGGTCGCCACGCGTTCGGAGTCGTATTTTCGCTACATCGACGGCAGCGAGTTGCATGGCATTTCGTTTACAACGGAACTCAGATAAATCAGTTCGTTTGTACAAATATCAAGTAAAATTCGACGAACTCAACAATTCAATACGAAAATGAAATCTTTTTGTCACTGCCAATGATGCGATTATTGCGAAAATTCATTTCATATACCTTCTTCACACAGAAGAAAGTCATCAGTTGAAATAGAGCAATGAATTAAGGTGAAAGCAAAATGTTTTTGAAGTATTCACGAAATCATTCAAAACAACACATATGGATGAGCCAAACACACACCAAGCAAGAACTACAAAGACAATATAAATTTATCACCGAAACTTAACTCCACGCAATAACAATTACAAAACACAAAACCTATTACGATAATAAAAACAAGCATTGTCAACTCTACTCTTTACTCATCGGTTCTACAACACAGGTCTTTTATTAACTGCGTTATTAAAATTTCCTAAGGACTTCGTCGCTATGAACTCAAAGTATTAATAATACAATAACGCGTCAACATAATAGTCTAGTTTGGTCTAGCACTTTAACATAACGAAACTAAGCTGATACATAAGTCATGACGTTCGGAGACTGAAGCGCATTAAATGTTCATCAAAATTGTGCGTGGGTCCTCGACTGAGCTTTTGATTTTACGTAAGAATGTAACTGCCTCTCGGCCATCAATCAAACGATGATCATAAGTTAAAGCTACCTTCATGATTGGGCGAATTTCAACCTGAAATTTGAAAGAAAAATTTATCTAAGTAAGTTAGAGAGGCATAAATGAATCCAGACTTATGATTCAAACATGAAAAGCACTTTGAACAAAACTCTACGGTAGTGGGGTGAATGCATAGGGCTCTAACGGCTATAAACAANCAAGTAAGAACGCCTCTATTTCAGCGGAACTTACGTACCAAATCTTCATAAGTAACATAATGAATAGGCTATATAAAAGCAGACCTTTCGACATCCTTTAAACTTTGTTAATATATTCTAAACAGCTGACTGAATCTAATAAAATCAGAAAGAGGTAGAAAGGAATCGAAGCTTGACCTGCTCGCTCCAGCATCAAGGCAATCTAAGGGCAACTAAGTACTGAAGCTTATCACTGCTACCTCTTTGAAACCCACTGACTCATCTACTTCTTGCAAACATTGGCCACTGCTAGATTCCACTATTGGAGAAAGTATTCAGACACTTAGAGATTTAAAATCAAAAAATTGTTTTACTACTCAATTACCGTATTAAGTACAATTGTAAGCGTGAAGCGCTGCATCCATTATCTATTTATAGACAAATCAGCGCCTACAGCGCTGTTTTTGAAGAAGTAAAGAAATATTCATGTAAGGATCAAAAGTTAAGAAACGTTATCGGAAAGTTCTAAGAAAATCTAAAAAAACTAGAAAAGTATAGTGCAACTTTTCGTGGGGAGTGGCACTTCAGGCACAAATCGCCTATACCAACTCGCCTCAAATTTTTGCACGAGAAGAACAATTATTTTCAAAATAAGCATAGATCAGTGATAAAGATAGGGTTCAAAACAATACCAGAAAGGAAGACCAACCTTGCCATCAACGGCGACAGGTTTGTCAAATATGCCATGCATACCCAATATTGCACTTTGTGGAGGGTTTATTATGGGAGTACCAAATACCGAACCGAAAACGCCGCCATTGGAAATCGTGAATGTTCCACCTTCCATGTCTTCAACCGCAAGTTTGTTATCACGAGCCTGAATCAAGCAAAGCGCTAGAATGACTGTAATCAGTTTAGGCAGGCATCAGATATCGTTCCATTCCTACTTCGACTTCACACACCTTTTCACCAAGCGACGCTAATTCCTTTTCTATTTGAGCATAGTTCATTGTTTCAACGTTGCGTAGAACTGGTACAACCAATCCTCTAGGAGTCGCTACCGCAATCGACATATCCACAAAATGTCGGTAAACGATTTCATTTTCGTCGATAACTTAAATACAACGGATTTTGGGCAAAGTTTTACACGGAAGAGATTCCACCAATTCCAAAGCCAACCTGCATTAACGATCGGATTTTCTGTGAGGGCATAAGCAGCTGCTCGGACAAATGGAGACATGAGACCCAACTTGATCCCATGCTTTTTCATAAACTCCTTCTGGTATTTCGCTCGCATTTCGATGACATTGCTGGAATGGGATCATGTAAAGGAAGGAGTAAGAAACATCAGTGGACTCTTCTGTCAAGCCACACAGGCAAAAAATCACCGAAAAGAACATGTCGAAGGTGATATTCTTAATTAGCCATAAAGGAACTTTATGTGCAACTCAGAACACCTTTTCTGACACATCTGACAGTCAGTCATCGCACTGCACAAGACTTTTGATATGCTATAAACATTATGAGTCTCTGATAGCAGCTCCTCTATTGCTTTCTAATCTTTTTTCTTTTGAAAATTGTGGTACAGAGAGAAACACTGAGTTTTTGTAAACATTGCAAACTTTTCGATCAGAAATCGAAGCTATGAGCAGCGTCGATATTGTTTATAACTGAAAAAAATGATCTGGATAGGGAAAGTTATGAGGTATCAAAAACGAGATTTAATTACAACCGGATTCAAATCACTGCAGTAGAATTTACGATAAAATCAAATGATCAAAGCCAGAAGAGAACAAAATGGAAATAGTAAACACCACAAACCAAGAGTGACAGAAAAGATCGCGTAACTCATCTTCAAATACCTACCGGGCCAACGCTGTAAATGAAGTGAATACTTACCTTCTTGATAATCAACTCAGAAGATCACTCCGAAGAGAAAGAGTAATAAATTAATATAAACGCTCGACCCAAAAAGGAGTGCACATTGTTACCTCATGTCAATTTCGTTGAAAGTCGTGAGCATCGCGTACGTATTCTGAGCATCCTTCAGGCGGGTAGCGATGCGCTGTCTCATTCGATTCATTTTAACACGAACCTGGTTTGTTTTCAGTTAGATGTGAGGTTCTCGAACGCAAAGCGAAAGGACAACCGTCATCGCATGAAAATTCATACCTCTTCCCTGGCACCAGTAATGGCCATATCCTTGGAAAGACCAGCGGGTACAGTTACACGTTGTACAGGGATGCTGGCGACAGGGACCGAGGACATGGGTGCAGATGGCGGGCGCGAAACCGGTGGCATCGTTTTCGGTATTTCACCTAAAGTTCTACCACCAATTTTGAGAACAAAATTTACACTGAGAGAAGTTTGAAAGATTCCAGTAGTTATGGAAAGGGCAAACAATCATACCTGCCACACTTGGCGATGGAGGCGGTGGTGGTGGTGGCGGTGCAGCTGCTTCTTCTTGAGCTGGCTTGGGAGGAGGAGGAGCTTGTGCAGGAGGCGGCGCTGGCTTCGACTCCTCCGCCTTTGGAGCTTCCTTAGCAGGAGCCTATAAATAAAATATTAAGACTCTGCAATTAAAATCTCTTCAGAATTAATATACTCACAGCTCCTTGTTGTATTAATTGAAGCAAAATGAAAGACGCAACTCAATAGAAATAGTGGAAGGATGGGAGTAAAAACTTACACTGGCTCCAGCTGTACCAGGCTCAAGTTTATAGAGTTTCTGTTTGGCAGTGACCTTTGCGCCATCCTCTACGAGAAGCTCAACGATTGTTCCCGATTGAGGAGCGGGCACTTCCACGGAGGTCTGAAGTCAGTTTGCATGAATCATGAAGCAGCTTAGCCAGCACACGTTGATGAACAAGTAGGCGACAATGCGTGTATCCAGTTGCGTGTCACATGAGAACGCGCGCGTTTTTCTTGGCGAGAAAATGCGGTTCGACGCAGCGCCACACCGTCTCGGAAAGCAGTTTCTTAGATTATCACCCTTGAACCGATAAAGTTTGAAACAGCTTCTTTTGCTCGAACTCCACCGCCTCATTTAAACTGATGATTTTGATCTCACCATGACGTTCGTTTTCGGCACAGCGCCACAGATTTTTTCCAGTAGCGTCCTCCACAAGATTATTACTAGAAGTAATTGATGTGTTTCATCATTAACATATTGTGAAGCCTTAGAGGCCAACGAAACGTGATCGAGTAAATTTCAAGATGGAATTGTGCCTCATTTATAGCTAGCATCCAGTAGCACGACGATTAGGAAAGCGACATTCTGCGCAAAAGACATCCGATGAAACCCGGAATCTAGCATTGAAATCTGTGGATCAAAGGTCAAAGTCGTGGCCTCAACTCTACGCCAAGTGGATCGAGCCGGATCAGCGCGATAATGAAAACGCCAGAGCCCACTGATCAAAATCTAATCGTCTGTGAATCGAAAAGTGCGAAAATTCTTCTTTACAGTTGCAGTCCGACAGTGCGACGCGTTGTTCTTAATGGCGAAAGAAGGGCGACATGACGTCGAGTTGCGTTATCGCCTACGCGCTACTTTGTAACTGTATTTTTATAGACCATTATAACGGCAAAAATAGAAAACTTTTTGCATCCTAAACTAAGGTAGCTTATTGTGATTTGCAATGGAAACACCTGTGCCACGGCAAAAATCGGCTTTAGTCATAAGCGGTGTTGCTAGGCGATGAATGGCTCTACGTACTGATAATACAATAATACCAAACAGCTTTCCAGTTTTTCATCAAAATATGAGTCAATTACAAGTGAAATAAAATTAAGTAGTTCTCGATCAGACGATAACTGCGATTTACCGAGCGGAACACTTCTAAGATGTTCCATTCCAAAGTGATGAATTTATAGCACAGGTGGAAGAGTCAGCACTGAAGGGTTGCCTTTTTCCACCGGGAGATGTTGGAGATGGGGTCGCACTGTGAAAGACCCAAAATAGGGAGGAGGCATTTCGAAGAATTATCTTTTCGAATTGAACTGCTACGCTCATCAACATTCGTAGTCGTTCTCAAAGGACACGTTCGTGAAAGGAGGGAGGGAGGGAGGGATGAGGAGAGGAAAGTGCACATATCGAATGAATTTTTTTAGCCATGGACGCCAGGCTTAGTCGATGCGAGGCAAGTTCTTATTGAAAACGCCGTCTAGCAATGTCCATGCCAACTCTTTTTTTTACGTCTTCTCGAAAGGAGGTCACCACTAGAGAGTGGAAAAGAAAAAAAGACGTACATATGAAAGTAGTGTAGCGTAAATGAAAGTATACTACTGCCACTATTTCTTATCGATTTAAAGGTCATCATGCCTCAAGAGAAGTCGAAAAGGCAATCCCACCCAATGCACAGCGATGCCGTAATGGAGCTGAATGTATGCCATATCTCAGGGCAACATTAACAAATGCCATAACCTCTACTTGTATTCATTGCTATCAGACATAGCTTGGCATCGTGCAATTATGAGTATTCATTTTGAACATTTTTGGTCAAAGCCGACTATGGGGAAGGGAAATCGAGTGAAGGATAATGAAGAATCTGGTTTGAACTTGCGTTCTTCAAACAACATTCCCAAATCTAGTAAGCTTATCATGTGAAAAAAAAAACTGCCGTCAGTTGAAAACAGCCCTATCCTGGCCTTTTCACGAGAAATGACGCTATACCACCCGAAACAATGCAACACAACCATGGTAGCCTTCCCTTCCCCGTTCTTATAATCTCGAGAGCATGGAAACGAAAAGAATAAAAAGAATGGTTCAGAGCACTCTTCAGAAAAGTTCGTGGGAGACATTTACCATTCTTCTTAATGTAATGGATCACGAGAATAAAACAAGAAACAACCCGCTAGAAAATGATCCCACGATATTTGAACCACTGTGATCTATTTTTAGCCACGTCATGCAACATCAGCATCACCTCATTGTAATTAAATCGATCACAAACTTTTTCTTCGCGTGAATCATACGTGACGGGTTGAACTAATCAAGAATGTTATAAGAGAAAAGAAGTAAAGCTGATTCCAATACGCCGAGAGTTAAAACATATCCCACCTTATCGGTCTCAATCTCGGCAACAAGCTCGTCTTCGTTGACGAAATCTCCTTTCTCTATAAGAAAAGTTCAAGAAATTTTCTAAGTTTGGTCAAATCAAATCCATATAGCAAAATTACGTTTGATCCATCGTATATCTCCTTCAGATATTGACTCTGCGAAGGCGGGCCCTTCCACAACAATCACATCACCTAACAAAATACGAAGCTAAAATTACGAAGACTTAAAGAAACAAGTTTTGAGATATTCAATTATCAAAAATGACCACGAAAATTCCTCGTTAAGCCCTTTTTCCCCTACACGTAGCTTCCACTTAAGGTCAACCAGCAGAAAAAAAAGCTTTGGGGTAGGCTTATTTATTAACAGTGAAGGAAATGTAATAAAATCTCTGCTTTCTCTTTGATAAGCAGATTCTGCATAATTATATGCTATTCAACAGCTCGAACACCCTCCTCTGGTTTACGCAGCATAACATAGTTAGGGACTCAATGGAGTAAGAGTAGTTAATAGACTGTCCGAGGTGAGTGACCGACCTATTACGTAAACAAAGCGTCTGAACTAAGGTCAGTGCTGCTTGATTTTTCCAGGAGGTGGATCGGTGAACAGAGGAAAGTTGGTGACGATTCAAGCACGTAACAACAAAAGTTGGTGCATCCCGGCCCTGGACCCTGTGGAGCCCACTTGTAAATTTGCAAATATATGATAGAAGAATGGAGTACGAAACAAAAAACAAGGAGAAAATGCTTACGCCGTACACCACTGGCATGAATGGCTCTTATGGGCAAGAAGGTTGTTTGCGCGATGTTCGCGACAGATGCCCTGGTCATTGGCAACGTTTGACCTATAAGCCAATAAAAAGCATTTCTATGCTGAACAACTGAAGTTAAAAAAAGCTAATATCCACATACTTGCCAAAATGACTCGACATGGTGAGAGGGATGTGGAAAAACGCTGAAATATACAAATCTCAAACAATCTCTCTAAAACAAAAAACGACTCTTCACCGAATAACCGGTTCCAAAGCGTACCTGACGTGCAATATTTACAGCATATCGCTGGAGAGCCGGCATACGACGACCAATCATTTTGGTCTGATAAACAGTACCCTGAAGTGATTAAAAGTCCGGTGTTATGCGTCTGGCGATGAACAAGGACGGATGCTTTATTGATCAAAACATAGTGCCAAGGCGCCAATGAAGACACACAACCAATTTAGAGCCATAAAGTTATGACTCTTCAGCTGCTCAGTTTGGAAGGTCCTGATTTCAATAATAATGATCGAATAAGGACTTAAATCCGTGCAAATTTCAAAAATTAGTTCGATAAGGTTCCCTGTGATTGCAAAGAAATATCCGTAAAGGAAAACAGAAGAGGAAATGAAAATGAGGGAAGATTAAAAGGAGATATCAAGAAGCTTTTTGCGGGCATCCAGGCAGGAGCACTGGTGACTAAAGCAGGCGCTAACATGAGTGCAAGTGGAGCTAAGCCGCTGGCGCGTAGGGAGACGCGTGCTGCGAAGCTCCAGCGAGCGCACGTGCTCTTTGAAGCGCCCACCAGGTACCGTATACTTCAAGGGGGTTTTCCGATTCCTACCTCTTTTTTGAAGACTTTAAAGAAGGAAAACGAAATTCTACCAATAGTGAAATGAGAACTTCAAAGAGTTCTTGCGAAGGCACGGCCTTATCAACAACAGTGGCCATAATCCTTTGATAGCTTGTAAACTCCGCGAATAAAAAGGAACGAGGAACTTTTACAACCAGTAGTTTAACACAGTGCCAAATTAGACTTTTCATTACATTCCGAATCGCCTAATAGGAAGGCTCCCCCTCAGCTCAGTCCCTTCGTGAATGTCTGAATGGAAGCAAAAGGAATGGAGTGTAATGGACGGGTGCGTGCTATAGCGGAATGGCTACTGGGAGCGATTTCATCTGATAAAATAATAAGCTCTAGAACCCGGAACTGAAGGCAGTAAAGGATATTGGAATACTTGTTGTGGAACAGTCGAAAAAACTCTCGGAACCAGATCTATTTCTCTACAACGTTGGAGAACTTGTTCATGAGCAATCAAAAAAGCCTCTCGGAAACATCTGTCCCTATATCAATATTGTCCCTATTCAAAACATCTGCAAATAATAAGCAGTTGGCAACAGTAGGAAATTAGAGAAAAACAATAGTACATGGGAACGTTAACCTTTGATAATTAGTTGTAATCTCACAGAGAAAAACTCATATACTCACTTCAATATTGAGAAGAAAGTTATTTTCAAACGATAATAGGGTCAAGCTGATAGCACCAGTTGTAGCAGGAAGGTGTGGGGGAGGGGTGGAAGG